GAACGGTGCACTCCATCGTTTGTTCATTGTTATGTTGTGGTTGCCTTCTTCTGGGCAATGCGAGTTTGGTGCACCGGTACACCAATCTGTTGATGACGCTTACGGTCTTTCGTTTCGAAACGATGGTTTAGGGTATGATTATCTGGTGTTGTATTTCGGTTAACGACTTGGGTCGGGCATTTGATATCCTGTACAATTAGCTTGCATTGGGCGGTATCTCAAAATCGGGGGGCGTTTTTCTTTAGTTGGGATGGATTTCGTTAATGGTTGCTCTTTTCGTGTTTGGGTTTGGGTTTGATGGCGTATGGTAGCATGAAAACGCTGGCCATTATCATGGAATACTATAATGCTTTCCGATCTGCATCGTAGTGTTAAAGAGCGGCCTTGACCTACACTTGGTGATGTTCGTTCGTTAGTCAGATGTCTCTAGTCGATAGCAATGCTGCCATTCCACGGCCACCGAGCCCTGCGACCCCGCATTCCGACGCCCCGCAGCTTTGCGCCATCAACCTTCTCCGCGCGACATCCACGGCTTCTGCCCACCACACATGATCCGCGCATACCGAGGCAGTGATGCAGCTTACATCTCCGCGTTATTGCCGGCGCGTCGAGATTCACGATGCGAGCTTGTCTCCAATGCCCGGCGGCATGCTCAGTCGGCCTCAACAGCACCCGCCCACCTCGCTTCGAAACGCCTGCAACTGACTCTGTTGGTCGAGCAAACAATTGACGAGTAGCCAATCGCATCATGGCAGACTTCACCGATCATCTCAAGCCCGCACACGATGGCACAGCAACCCTCCAAGCCGAACGCGACGGCTCGGGCATTGACGTCCACCAACTCGCACAGCACCTTCTAGGCCGTGATGACTTCCTGAAGCGGCAAGAAAAGGTCCTCCGCGTGTTGAGCAAGGAGAAGCTTTTCAGTAAAGATCAGCAGCTCAATCTGTCGCGACCAGAGCGGTACCATCTAGGCCTAGCAAGAGCGAAAGCCATTCAGCGATTGATGAGACGAGAAGGCTGGGACCATGAAGACTACCAGATGGCGGAATACCTGACTGACGAAATGAGCCCATACTTCTTGCATATGAGCATGTTCGGTGAGTCAACGGAAGGTTGCAGCTGAGAAAGATGTCGTGCATAATCGTACCACCGGGGGGCTGGGAGCTGACATGCACCGCATCGCACAGTCACAACGGTACGCGAGCAAGCCTCCGAAGAACAGCAAATGTATTGGATGCCCAAGATCCTCAACTACGACATAATCGGCTGCTATGCGCAAACCGAACTAGGCCATGGTAGTAACGTACGCGGCCTGGAAACCGTCGCAAAGTGGGACCCGATGAAGAAAGAGTTCGAGATCCACAGCCCAACTCTCACGGCGAGCAAATGGTGGAATGGGTCGATGGGGAGGACCGCCACGCATGCAGTACGTATTCAGCCCCTTCTTGTGCGACTGTTCCAGAACTTTATCTCTGCCTTGGGCGTTCGCTAACGTAGCCGCGTATAGATTGTGGTCGCACAATTGCTCTTGCCGAAAACGTCCTCCACAGCCGAAGGACCAGGAAAGGCCGACCGAAAAGACCAGAAGATCGAGTATGCCTCTCACGGGCCGCAAACCTTCATCCTGCAGATTCGGGATGCGAAGACTCATCAACCTTTGCCAGGGATTGCGGTAGGCGATATCGGTCCGAAATACGGGTATGCAAGTATGGATAATGGATATATGCTCTTCGACCACTTCCGCGTACCCAAGTCGGCTATGCTGAGCCGGTATGCGGAGGTTTCGGACGAGACAGGCGCATTCATTCGGACTGGTCATCCGGCTGTCGTATATGGAAGTCTGACGTTCGTACGCGGACAGATCATAATGCATGCGCGGCTGGTGCTTGCGCGGGCTGTTACTGTCGCTGTGCGATACTGCGCTATCCGGCGACAATTCAAAGACCGCGATTCTGCCAACCCCTCAGACGGCGAGATGAAGGTCCTGGACTATCCTACCGTACAGATCCGAATCTTGCCGTTGCTTGCGACTACTTTTGCGTTGCATTATACTGGCGAGTACATGTACAAGCTATACCACAAGTCAAGAGAGAATATTGAGAAAGGCGATTTTGGTCCCTTGGCGGAGTTGCACAGCGCAAGCTCAGGACTGAAGAGCCTGTGTACGACGCTTGCTGCAGATGGCATCGAGACTTGTCGACGCGCAATGGGCGGTCATGGCTTCGGTGGTGGGAGTGGGCTGGTAGGGCTAAACGGTGACTACCTCTCTAAGCCAACTGTGGAGGGCGACAATTGGATGATTACCCAGCAGGTTGCTGCGTACCTCATCAAGAAGATGTCGAATGCGGTCAATGACCCAGATTCACCGGCCAAGGATCCAACGGACGAGCTCTTCCAATTTTATCTTCGCAACAAAGACCATCGCTTACCTCAGAACGTCTTGAAAGACGGAGTTGTAGACGACCAAGGTATAGTCGACGTGTTCCAGTGGCGCGCGGCTGATCTCTCCTACCGCGCTTATCAAGCACGTGTTGTTGAGAAGAAGCCGTGGACACGTCTGATGATTCAACTTCATAACCTCAGCCGCGCATACTCAGAGCAAATTCTTGTCACGAACTTCTACAACAGCCTCACCTCGATAGCCCCGCCTGCATCGCCCGCCCTGCGCACATGCTCCCAGCTGTACGCGCTTTACACCCTCGACCAATTCGCCTCCTCATTTACAATGACGGCCGCCGTGCCGCCCGAGTCGGTCTTTGCCTTGCAGGATGGGATCATCGACCTTATGGCCGAATTGAGACCACATGCGGTGAAGCTGGTGGACGCCTGGTCGATACCAGATTGGCTGTTGAACAGTGCGTTGGGCAGAAATGATGGTAGGGTATATGAGGAACTTTTCGACATGGCGCATCGCAGAAATCCGCTCAACAAGGTAACGTTCAATCCGGACTGGCGCAGCGAGGAGATTGTGTTGGGAAGTGAGGATGGTGGTCGGCACCTGTTGGCGAAGCTATAGCATGAGCGCATCTCGTCGTTGAAAATTACTGTCTGTGCATGCGCGTCGTGTTGGCTTCGCAACTCCTGTGGTTTGGTGCGGACACCTGTCAGATGTTAATGTGGACGAAATTGAAACTCGGGGTAGCGTGAAACAAAGTCTTCCAATGTATGCGGTTACCCCTTTATGCTTCCGGCACCGGTGAGAAAACTTCGCAATGTTCAAGACACAAGCGCATTGGCGCGTCATAGTAGAGGCGAGCTTTCGAGAGACTTGGGTGAATACTCCGCAATTCATAGTGGTTTCCAAACCTTAAATTCGCGGAGCGGTCCAGTCAATCTTACTAGTCGCCCGTTGGAAGAGGCCCGATTACTGATTGCTGCCAACGCCCAATGATAAGTTGATGTCATGGTTTTAGGCCTCCGAACGCTGGAGCCGTTGAAAATGACATGCCATCTTTCCCTGCTAGACGACCGTTGAAACATTGGCATCGCGTGTTCGCGATGATCGGGTGCGTATCGGGAGTTGTTGGTCGGCGTATTTGAGGCGCTCCGAAAGTAGGCGGCCTGCATCGACCTTGCGAACTAATACTGGAGTCCAGGATAGATGAGAGGATAGGTACACCAGAAAGAGTAAAAACTTCGACACTAAGAAGTCTGAATCTTATCTGGCTGTGCCGCGAAACATGCATGGAGTTGAACGCCTCGTCTGGTGTTGCAGCATCGTCGCAGTCGGCAAGCGGGAGGCCGCTGAGCGCCAAGACACCACTAAGTCCTGAGTCAGCAACGAGAGATGCCTGTCGCTTGTGACGCAGTTATGCAGTCTACGGCACATCAACCCACTATGCAGCACCGTTTTCCCGAGCACCGGGCCTGACCCCATGCCCTTCGATCTCTGCCATTCAACCCTTATGGTCCATCTTCCGCCAGTCATCGGGCGCTCCATTCCAAGCTCGTAAAAGCGTGGCCTGGGTTTCAGCCTGATCGCCGCTACGCCTTTTCTGGCTCAGGACCCTTCGGATGACCACGCAGCACATTCGCGGACCAGAGAGGAGACATAGTTATTAGACTTGACGTTCTTTGTTCTGTGCAATCGGATGCCCGCGCTAGTGTTTGCTTCGTAGGAACCTTACCTGAGCCTGAACAGCAGCGACTACGGAGCTTGCCGCCCTTTCGTCTTACCGCCTCATCGCCTCCAGAGCATAAGCATGTCCTATCGTGGCCGACCCAGTAAGGGATGCGAGGCTTGCAGAGCCCGTAAAGTCAAGGTACGCATCTCTTTCTGTCCACTTCTGCGAGTTGCCCGCTCCTGGGGCTGCACCACGCGCAGGGCAACGACGGTCATGCGGACAAGGCTGATGCCAGAGTAGTGCGATGAGGGGAGACCAGCTTGCAGTCGATGTAGCAAGGCAGGCCATGAATGCAAATATCGAGACCAAGCCGACATCCTCTTTCGGAACCAAACGGCATCGGCTGCGCAAAGAGCTGAAGAGTCGTGGCGGAAGCGATCAAAGTCAAACCAACGTGCTACCGTTGCCGAAAGTAGCAACGCCTACAGCAACACCTATAATAACACCTATATCAAAACGCCACCAAGCGACGAGTCAACACCACCCCATCTGGACGACACGCGCTCGTCCAGCGGTAGTGTGCATTCGCCCGGTGGCTCTGTGGATGACCCAGGTCAAGAATCATCAAGCGTTGCATCCGCAACCATCGATCTAAGTCGGCTGACTATTACTCCGTCGCTCAATCCGGACTTCCGTAGAAGAGCTTTTGAGCGCTTTGTGTACGACTTTGTGCTGCCCGACTCGCCGAACCGACCAGCCGACCAGCCAGATGAAGCCCTGTGGACATTTATCCCGCTCTTGTATCAAGACGCCCTGGAGAACTCATTGATCGCGACAGCGGTTGACGCAGTATCTTACGTCAACTTCGCTAATAGATACAATGATTCTCATGCGCAAGCACTAGGTGAGGAATGCGTAGGAAGGGCCCTTCCGATGTTGACAAAGGCAATCGCGGACAAGAAGCAGGCAGCCACGAATGTTGCGCTTTGCTCAGTACATCTGATGGGCATCTACGAGGTACGTTCGTTTGTTACAGCTTGCTGGTATGCACAAAATCTAACGTGATGAACAGAATCTTACCAGCGTACAGCGGAAAGGCACCTTTCTGGCTCACAACCAAGGCGCAAATGCTATGCTTCAATTGCGGACGGTTGAGGAGTTCTACAGCGACATCATATCAGCCAGACTTTACGAAGTCATCTATGCACATCTGGTAATCGCCGTCACAGATGACTACCTTTTTTCCGCTGATGGCTAACCTTGCGACAGCTATTAGGCAACTTACAGGCAGCAAGACGCCCGCAAATACCTACTAGAGATGTGGTCAAAGTAGACGAATTACTCCCAAGCCTATACAAGAACTCCAACGCCTTTGTCATTCGTCTGATATGGCGAGCGGCAATGCTACATGCCAGATGGCACGAAATCAAGCAAAGTCCAAACCCACCAACAAACCGCATGGCCTTGCAAGAACTTCTACAGAGCGCTCTCGAACTAGAAAGCGACTACGAAGCTTGGGAGGCAAACGTCACACCGGCATGGAACTATCACATGACACCCAACACACCGGAGGCTCGGTCGACCTACGACGCCAAGTTGCAAAAGCTTTTCTTGGGTTGCCCAGGCGCACCGGAAGAGATTCACATATACCCGAGCTTGAAGCGTGTCTGGATCTGGGGCTTCTACCGTACAAGCCGCATACTTGTTCTACGTGATCTGCTCGAGATGTTGAATTGGATGTTGAGATTCCGGGACCCTTGCCTATCTTTCCGTCCTCAAGAAGCCCCGGGGCAGTCCATGCCTACTGCTCTAAGTAATGCAAATCTCCGCACGCATCACTCGGTCGCTACCGCCCGCCTAGTCGAGGTCATCGAGAAGAACTGTTCTTCCATACTTGGCAGCTTTACTGTACCGATAGATACGAAATCTGCCACCGACATATGTGGTATGCGGGGCTATATCTGCATATGGCCCCTGGGTACGATGGATTCAGTACTCAGCTCAGGTCTTGTGCCGGATAGCAATGCAGGCAAGCAACCGCACAGCGCTACTCACCTGCCAACACCACCGCCAGTTCACTCGCAACCACACCTGGCTACATCCACATCCAACGCGTCTTCCTCAAGCGAGCCGTCGACGGCCCTGGAATCCTACGAGGCAGCACCGGCATTTTCCGAACTCCGCAACATCCGGACCAAGTCGCAAAGCGGCCAATCTCCTGGCGCGAGTCCGCCATCGAACACCCCGCTCTTGGACCAAAATGCAAAGAAGAATCACATCTTTGACCCCAACCCTGCGCACCCGTACGATCACCCGCTAGACCTACCTCCACTGGACCATGGGGTTGAGCCCAGGAGGATAGACATTGCAGCGAGGCGAGAATGGATAAATCGGCTGATGTACTACATGGCCACAGAACTGGGACTGAAGAAGGCGCTCTGGTGCCCAGTCATGCAAGGCTACATGCCCACCGTGAAACCCATGGTTGACGAGATTCTCAGCCAAGAAAGAGGTTTCTAAAAACTCGAATCACGCATTTGGCAACGGAGTATAAGCAACAAGGGCATCTCGTTGGCGTTTTTGAGATTATGTCTTTTGCATTTACGAAGGGAAATATGGGGTTGGATGCACGATTTGGTAACATATTTGTTCACGTACATATTATTTCGGTTCGAAGCTATTTGGATATACACGAAAGTTATGGCTTGTATTTTGAAATATGAGGGTATTGTTGAGTGATTGAGAGTAATATGGTGAGCTGACTCGGTTAGGACAAGCGTTCACTACAGCCTTAGTTGTGAGCGGGTAGGCAACAGCTCGCTGGAGTCCTGACATTCACAGTTCGAACTATATACCCATCGCCCATTAGTTCCAGCTGCCGTTGCGATTCAGTGCGACCAACCGCCATCAACCGATTTCCACCAGAGAAATCCCCAAACTCAAATGGGCGGGCACAGGATGAATTACGTCGCAACCCTGCCTTCCATCCCCGAGGAGGCCGTCGACACGCACGACCTTATGTAAGTTCTGTCTCTGGAACTGTCGCTGCAAATGTTGGCTCGACCCGCTGACATGCACAGCACAGAAGCCAATGCCAAGAACTCACCATTGCTGCGCCTTCCCGGCGAGTTGCGCAACAAAATCTACGGCTACGCTCTCGCCGACTCCTCCATCGAACCACTGCTGCGCCCGCGGACTGCCTCAACACACGCTCGATTAAGCTCGGGCCGACCCATGTCCCCCACCGTCTCACTCATTCGAACATGTCGTCAGACCCGGTCTGAGGCCGAGTCTCTCTTCTTTTCCCACACCACTTTCGGCTTCAATTATGCGCGATATGACTTTCATCGTTTCCTGGGACACATTGGGCGTGAAAAGAGAAAACTCATCACGTCGATTGCCATGCTATTCTCTACGCTTGAATTGCTTGAGCAATACGAGGGGCGGTATAAGCTTCCACGGCTGGAGTACGTTTACGTGAGGGTGTCTGCTGAATATCATGAATATTATCACAAGGGAAACACGCAAACACTACAGAGGCTTGCTGGGATAATGGGAGGGAAATTGGGATGTGAGAAGGCTACGTTTGTTCCGAAAGTATATGTTTGTCCGTGTGATCGATGTCAAGTAGGTAGTAGTGGTGGTAGATTCGGTATGAGACAAGAAGATCGCTCGTGTCTTCAGGCAGTCTCGGATCGCGAGGACAGAACCTCGTCCTCTGGCTGCAGCCTCATGTAATTAGCGCCAAATCGCAGTCACCATCACCGTTTGTCCTCATGCAGACCCTGTACTAGTGTCGCGGCCAGCATTGACTGACAGCTCCCCTACCGACTACCGATCGTCTCTCCCATCACCAACCTTGAAGCATAAAACCGACGTCGCGTTGCCCACGCCTTGACGATGCTTCGCCTCACCGACTTAGGTTCCATGAAACCTCGCGTCTTACCTCCGGGACAAAAGGACGACCGCGACGAAGACCTCCGCGGCGTCGACGATGTCTTCAACAACGACTACGACGCACAAAGCAACACCAACACCATCTCCCCACAGAAGCACAATAGAGACAAAACGTACACCCACCCCTCCCTACCTACACCCTCGCTCCTAACACCCGCCAGCACGCACACCAACCAACCCCCCTCACATCTCCTCCTCCTCCCCGCCGAACTCCGCAACAAGATCTACAACTTCGTCTTCCTAAACACCACCATCAACATCAACAAGCTCCTCGTCAAAAAAGACGTGCTCGGCCGCTACCCCAGCGTCCGCGCCATACTTTACACCTGCCGCCAGATCTACGTCGAAGCCAGCGCTTTGTCCTTCACTCTGTGTACCTTTGTCCCTAGCTACTTCGCGCTAAGGTTCTTTGCGTCGTCTAATCTGCCTGCAAGTGGGTTTGGGAGGGTTGAGAGGCTGTGGTTGACGGAGGGGAATGGGCGGGCTATCATCGAAGGACAGGATGAAATGAAGGGTGCCTATCTCAAAGAATGGTTTGCTTCATTAAAGCTCTTGGAGATAGAAGTATGGCGTCTGAAAGTTAACCTGACGGACGCTCAGGCAAAAGAGAAGGTGAGGGATGCGTTTGGGCTGCCGGATCTGCATGTTGTGGGGAGGCGCATAGGTGAGGATGGGGTGGTTTCTGGTTGATATTTTGGATGGGATGGGGTTCTAGGGTACGACGGATGATCGGAATTGAGCTTGAGGCTTAAGGGCTGAGTCTGTCATGTTGCGAATTGAGGGTCTTGGGCTTCCTGAGGAATGAGGAATGTCGCGTCGGCGTTTAACCCCGCGCTAACTTCTAAACCCCGACCTGACCCCACAAGTCCTGCTTACATAACGCACTCGCCCCATCGCCCTCTCACCAAAGCACCTTCCAAAGTGCTTGGAACCCATCGCTCATCCCCCCATCCGCATTCGCATTAGCGCTGCAACTCACAGGTACACCCGTGCCATTCTAATCAATTCGATATACACCTCACATCCCAAATCACACCCGGGTGTTGTAAAGAAAGAGCTAGGAAAACACCACACACATACACGACGCTACCGCTAAAATGGATATCCGCGTCCTACGCCCATCGGACATTCCGCATGTCCAGCTTGCGAATATTACGAATTTGCCCGAGAACTACTTTTGCAAGTACTATCTGTATCATGCGATGAGTTGGCCGCAGTTGAGCTATGTGGCTGTTGATGTAAGTTTTTTGTGTTTATATTTGGGGAAGAGCTGGGAACAGGTGTGAAGAGGAATGATTAAAGGACGAGAGTTGCAGTTATTCGCGAGTGCTGCGCTTGGCTCGTTCATGAAATAATGGTTGAGCAACGGGGAGTCCCGTCGTTACGTGGAACACGTGACGATCTGCTGTTACTTGTCCTTTCGATATTGGTGACACGTTGATACGTTTTGCACGTTACTAACACCACTCAGGTATCCCGCCCCCCCAAAACCCCCTACGACCCCCCCAAAATCGTCGGCTACGTCCTCGCCAAGATGGAAGAGGAACCCACCGACGGCGTCCAACACGGCCACATCACTTCGTTATCCGTAATGCGCACCCACCGCCGCCTGGGCCTCGCCGAGAAACTAATGAGACAATCCCGTAAGTCAACTCTTCTCACCAGCACCACCCATCTTTTCCATCCATCCCAACACCCCAACATTCCAACATCCCGACAACCAGCATCAACCCCCAACCCCACATCCCACCCCATCTAACTCACCTAACCCCCCCTAGAGCGCGCCATGGCAGAAACCTTCAACGCGCACTACGTCTCCCTACACGTCCGCGTCTCCAACAACGCGGCCCTGCATCTCTACCGCGAAACCCTCGGTTTCACCGTCGACAAGATCGAAGCGAAATACTATGCTGATGGTGAGGATGCGTATAGTATGAGGATCGAATTGGCGGAGTTGAAGGAGCAGCTGCGTGACGAAGAAGAAGAAATATTTGGTAGCGAGGGGCTTGATGAGGGGGATGCCGTGGGGAGTGAGGGGCAGAAAGAGAAGAAGCCCGCGAAGAAGACAAAGGTCAAGGTGGGAAGGGGGAAGGGTGTTGTGGATCTTGTGGAGAAGAACGAAGCGGCTGCTGCTTAGGAGACAGGGGTTGCCATTGCTCAAATCTTTCAGAGGATACGGTTTGGGATGGGGAGGTGACTCCCGAGGTCCTCCCTCACAACCTCTTCTGAGCATAGGGTTATTATTGCTTGAGAATGGATATTGGTGGTGTGTTGGTATTATTGTAGTTGGAGGCACATTCGTTGTGCTATAGAAGCCCTAGAGGAATTACGCTATCCAGCGTATATCCCTATCTGACCTTCTCATGCTATGCTATACCACGCCATATGCTACCGTATATTCTAAAATTCTCAACTCCATCTCCATGCAAGAAGGAAGTAGCCAACCAAAAGAACAAGAAGAAGAAAGGAAGAAAAGAAAACGCCCATCCGTGTACCTTGTTGGATATCATAAAGTGCCCAGATCATAATAGCCCGCCACATAAATCATCATCTTCCCCATCTCCCTACATCAACCCCCCAAGCACAACCTTACCCACACCACCAACCTCACTCTTAAGCCCCGCCCGACAACTATCCTCAAACTCGCGCACAACCCCCGCAAGAATAATCTTCCTCACCCGCGCATCCGCCTTGTTGAACAGATCCCCCACCAAACTAGGCACCCCACCACCCGCGCTCGCCACACTCTCAGGCGTACTAAGCATACTCAGTATCTTCGTATAACAATCAATCAAGACATCGCACAGCGTAGCAAACGTGCTGAAGAAATCGGGGTCGAACGGTAAACTCGGGGTCTGGAGATGCGTGTAGCTTTCGTTGGGGAGCAAGGAATCGTCTGTTGTAGGCGGGGAGTCAAACCCGCCGCCCATACCTCCACTTGTTTCCGACCCGGTGAAACTATTGCTTGGAGTGAGGAGCGGGAAATCGCCGTTCGCGCTGCTGGACCGCCGGCCTTTACTCCCCATTGACATGCCCATGCCCATTCCCATGCCCATGTTTGCGCGCTTGAACATCTGGGGGAGGCGGGCGCGGGAGAGGGACGAGGGGGTGGAGCCGTCGGCCGGGTGGATGGATTGGTATTGTTCGAATTCTAGCAAGAGGGCGTTGAGGGCTTTGAGGTAGTCGGACGGGGAGTTTGCGTTTAGATCGAGGATGGTGGGGAGCGAGAAGCCGAGGAGCAGGTAGTGGGTTGCGCGCCGGGCTTGGTTGCGCGTTGTGAAGGAGGGGAGGCGCGTGAGGTCTGTTTTGGAGAAGAGGAGCGTGTTGAACCAGTAGATGCGGCCTTCGTGGCTGGGGGGTATTAGTGAGAGTTGATATAGAAGAGGGAAAATGGAAGGACTCACGCTTTCCGCAGATAGTCGAGGGTGGATATGCGCTTTGAGGCGAGCTCGTGGATGTGCTGGAAGACGAGGTTGGGGTTGGAGCCGTTGGGGACGGGGATGGGCGCGGCAGGTGCTAAGGTGCGGTTGGACTGCTGGTTTGCCTGGAGGATCTCCTTCTGGGAGGGGGGATGGCGCAGCGGGATGGGGACAGCCATGTTGCCGAAGGGAGTCTTGGGCTTGTCGACGGCGCTGAGGGGGCTCTTCTCGTAGACCTGGGCCTGGGGCTGTTGGACGCTGCCACCCTCGGTCTTGACGTTCTCGCTGCTTTTTTGCTTGCTGCGCGAAAAGGTGGATATGGAGAGGGCGGGCCGCGAGGCATTCGTCACGCTGGCGGGCACGGGGGCCTTCTCGGGGGAGTAGGTGAGGGCCAGGGTGGCCGAGGGGGTCCTCTTATGCGAGGACGAGGCCGACGCGTTGGTGCGAAGCGAGGCGGACCGTGACCTCCGCAGCGTGGACCCGAGATCGGTGACGGACGAGGCGATGCTGTGCCTGCTGCTGGCGTGCCTGCGTCGTGGTGGCGTCGCTGCGAGGCGGGCGGGAAACTCGTATTGGTCGAGCTCGAGAGGGGGTGTCTTTAGCCCGGGGTTGGCCGCCGGGGTGATGTTGAGTTGGGGCGGCGCGAGGGTCGAGTTTGTTTGCTTGTGTCCTTGTCCCTTGGTCTTGCCGCCGAAAAACGAGGGGCGGCGGGAGAAGAGGCCCTGGCTGGAGTTGTCGGCCATGCTGGTAGCCCATGTGCTTTCCCAGACGTGTGGGGCTACCGAGCGATCAGGGGCTGTTTCACCACGGACCCTGATAACATTGCCGCATTGCTATATCTACTTGTAAATATACTATGGTCTCTTCGTTAGAATGTAGGTGAGGAGACACGCAGACGGGACTGCACGCTATAAGGTAGATACTGGCGCGCAAAACGAAAACGTGTTTCGATTCGCGGCTACAGCTGATACCGTGAGAACCTATCCCGACGCAGGAACAAGCCGCCCGAGGCCCATCCCTGCCCACCGCCTCTGCCCCTGTCGCCTACTTTGCCATAGCTTCACTGACTATGCCATTTGCCCACGTGCGGCTATCAGCACGTTAGGCTGAATCCAGAGTGGCAGGTGCTGTTTCCAAGCTCCAAGCTTCCAAGCTTTCCAGTCCCGCGGTTCAGACTCGACACCGTCCGACTCTCCCAGACACACCATTACTACCAAGTACCGCTGTACTGTTGTTGTGTGTTGCTGCCAGCCCCGCCAACTACCCCACGTCACGATGCAGCGCAGACAGAGCGCGCGAGTACGCACCACCACGACATTCATATCCGCGCAACACTAACGAAACACAGGGAGAGTGGATTCCCACAGAGGGACAGTGGCCCGTGGATCCTCAGGAAGACGTCGAGGTTTCGGAGCAGCGCATATGGGTCGATGGCTGTTTCGACTTTGCTCACCACGGTATGCCGGCTGCCGCATTCGAGGTATCCAGCGCTTACAGAGACCAGGCCATGCGGGCGCCATGCTGCAGGCGCGCCAGCTGGGCAACGAGCTGTTCGTTGGTGTGCACTCGGATGAGTCCATCATGGAGAACAAGGGCCCCACGGTGATGCGCCTCGACGAACGGTGCGCGCAATCACTAACTTTACCTACCAACTTCCTTGACTAATGATTTCAGTGTCGCCGCCGTCGAAGCCTGCCGATGGGCTACCAAAGCCGTCCCGAGGGCGCCCTACGTAACTTCGCTGCCCTGGATCACCCACTACGGCTGCCAATACGTCGTCCACGGCGATGACATCACCTCCGACAGCGACGGAAAGGACTGCTACCGCTACGTCAAGGCAGCCGGAAGGTTCAAGGTGGTTAAGCGCACGCCCGGCATCTCGACGACCGACCTCGTGGGTCGTATGCTGCTGTGCACCAAGTCGCACTTTATACCATCGCTGGAGAAGAGGCTGTCCGGAGACGAGGGCCCGGGTGACGAGAAGGAGCGGTTAAAGACGGGAGAGGAGATGCTTCAGCGCATCAAGGACTACGCGACCGACGCCTCAGGTCGCGCGCCCGGCTGCGACGTGTGGTACTGGCATGCTTCCCGACCCGTCAAGCTGCGGAGGACAACCACCAGCAACACCGTAACCTCGCCTACCTCGCCCACTGCGCCGCGCCCCGGCACCGTCCGCCAGGCCTCGACCGCCTCAGCACTCGGACCCGTCAAGGAAGAAAAGGGCAAGTTCCACGAGTTGGTCAAGGGCAAGGGCGTCAAGCCCGGCCAAAAGGTCATCTATGTCGACGGAGGCTGGGATCTGTTCTCCTCGGGCCACATCGAGTTCCTCCGCCTCGTCACACAATCCGAAGAAGAAACCGCAAAGGAGGGCGGCTGGTACACCGACGAAGCAAAAGCAGCGCGCATAGAAAAGTCCGGCGAGGACTACGGCCCCATCTTCCTCATCGCCGGCATCCACGACGACGAAGTCATCAACCACTGGAAAGGCATAAACTACCCCATCATGAACATCTTCGAGCGCGGCCTCTGCGTCCTCCAATGCAAAGTACGTCTCCCCTCCCCTCCTTCCCCATCCGACCCCCACTAACCGCCCACCCAGTACGTTCACGCGGCCATCTTCGGCGCCCCCTTCTCCCTCTCCAAAGCCTTCCTCCACACGCTCCCCTACGCCCAACCCCTCACCGTCTACCACGGCAAAACCACCTTCATGCCCCTCGCCTTCGACCCCTACGCCGTCCCCAAGGCCCTCAACATATACCGCGAAATCGCTAACCACGACTTCCAAAACGTAAACGCTGCGGAGATTGTAGCGCGGATTATGAAGGGGAGAGCGTTGTATGAGGAGAGGCAGCGTAAGAAGGGCGAGAAGGGGATGACGGAGGAGGTGGAGAGGATTAGGCAGGAGATGGAGAGGGAGCAGAAGAGGAGGGAGGTGGAGGGGCAGTTTGGGCTGTAGATGGGGGCGGGGTTGGGGATATGTGTGTGGAGGGGGTGGGGTAGGATGGGTAGAGAGGGATGTGATGTTGCTAGCGCGTTCGACGTTATATACCAATCTTCAACAGATATTCATATCCTCTCCCTAATGTACAAGACATGGTTCAGATCACAATTCAGCTGATCTGGTCCGGCATCGCCACACCCAATTGAGCGGTCCCGAATCGCCGTCAATCAAGCCACCTTCCAGCGCTCTACCGAAATCCGCCGAAGCGAAAAGAATTGATTCAACAACCTCCTCATACTCGTCCCCCGTCTCCCCCAACATCCTTTCCAGGCAGACCTCCTCAATCCCAATCCACACCTTCAACGCCTCCCGGACGTCCTCCCATTCCCTCAACTACCTATTAACATACACCCTAGGGTCTCCAACTTCGGCGCGCAAATCTCAGGTAAACGGCCTCGACGCGGATACCTATAGCTCCTCTCAATGACCTCGGCAAATTCATCCGAGATCCTGAGCGAGGTGATGAGACTAAAGATCTTGGGCTTGAGGCTACGGGGTGGCTGGCGTGAGTTAGAGGACTTGGGTATATTGTTGAGTGGGTGTAGAATGGTGTGGTGGCTTTGTGGTGGGTTTGCTTGCAGGCGCTTAGGAGGGGTGGGAGATAGATGGACATTTTGATCTTGACAATTGCTCGTTTTCGCCTACAAAATCCTACCCAATAGTCATTCCAGTCCACCCGCGTTCTACCATCTCTACCCACTGCCTCTTTCCTTATCAGCCACACAAAAGAATGTGTTGAGCTTCACCCTCTTTCCATAAACGTCCAATGTCTGACCAACAGCTCCTTTGACGGAAAATACTTCTCACCCAACCTCTCCTCAACCACCACATCCAACTCATCATCCCCAAACCACTTCCTTATCGCTTCCTTTGTCGAATCGCCCTGATAGTGGCCAAATGGCCAATTCCTGAACGTGACGCACACACGCTCCAAGCGCGGTAAGTGCAAGGTACACGCTTTGGTAGCTTGTGAGTTTGTCTCGCGCTTATCAACCTCCTGTTCCATGAGGTCAAGGAAGACCTCGCTGATTCGGAGGGAAGTTATGTAGGCGCAGAGGCTGTGTGAGTGTTTCGAGTATAGCAAGTACCACGCGTCGCCGGGGAGGGTGTCGATAGTAGTTTGGGCGTATACGAGTGCGGTAGCTTCGTGGCGAGTTTGTTGGCAGGTGGAGAGGAGCCCCGGCAGGTGGAATTGCATGGTGAATATGGATGTTGGATCGTCAGGGCTTGCATTGGTAATGGTCGCGGCGATGTGGATCTGTTCCGAGTGGCCTACGTAGGTGTAGATCTTGTTGCGCAACTCAGCGGGGAGGCGGAGGAGAGGGGATGTGAGGGTGTTGGTAAGAGTGCTAGGAGGTGTGTGCGTTAGTAGGTAGATAATAGTGTTTAGTGACGGCGCAGGTCGCGGAGACATACATCTCGGACATGGCAGTGTCGACTGCAACGGCTGTAGAAGATGGAGGTTCCATTATGCGTGGGTTAGAGAATGTAGGGTGTATTGGTCTCGGCTAGTGGGTAGTTGACTGAACAGGGATGAGGACTTGGAGCGGACAAACAGTTCACTGTATTTCGCATAATTCAGACTAGTGCAGTTAGAGCACTAGCGGTGCTGCTAGCTTATCTGCCGTTATACCACCCACTGTTCGAGATCAAGATACACAGCCTCTCCTACCTGCCCAACATGGAGACTACAGTCGCAACCACGACCACACCTGCAGCTCTCGAAACCAACAGCGCGATGTCCACGATGTACGCACCCCGTTATATATCCATTAACTTGCACTAATTAGCCACCTAGATCCCATCCCACATCCCCATTCCTCCTTCTCCCCGCAGAACTCCGCAACGAAATCTACACCTTCATCGGTCTATCAACCAAAATACAAGTCCTCAACATGCAAAGGCCATCCAAACACCACCCATTCTTCTACACCATCCCCCCATTCCTGCGCACGTGTAAACAGATACGCAACGAAGCCACCGCTCTCATCTACGCAAACGCTACATTCGACATTACCCGTGGCGGCGACTTCTCCTGGACCACGCGTTGCGTTGGGGCAAAGTTTTGTACTACGTTGCAGATTTCCTGGGTGGTTTCGAGCCAACTCGCAGGAGAGGCTATTGAGAACAGAGGCAGGTGTGCTGTGTGCCCGCTGCCGAATTTGGAGAGGGTGGAGGTGATGTGGGCATCGAAGTGGGGAAGGGAGAGAGTCAGAGCTGCGTTGAGGGATTGGTTCGGAAAGGAGGATTTGGTGGTTGAGTACAGAGATAATGGGGGGATGGCGACGACTTGGTAGAGATCTGGACACTTGCGCCTGTGGGAGGTTGAGATTGACGAAACTCAGTAGCGAACTCGAAGAGAGCGATCCATGTATTGTGTGATGTGCGGGTCAACTAATAATGGCTACCTTGATTCTCTTTCTCTTTGACTAGCCAATCCCTGTGACGGCTGAGAGCACCCTCCCCTAACCTACCGCTCATCCTACTAGTGACTCAAACACAACTTCCACAGCAATATCCTCACACCACGCTCTCAAAGCTGCCCTTATCTTTTCCTCTTGCCAAAGCTTGTACGCATTCCATGACCAGACGTGGATTTTCTTCAAGTTGGGCAGCCATTCAGCAGGAGGTACATACTCTCTAGTGAAACCCCGTCGCCGACTGGGATACCATGCGATATAATCGGCAAAAGTCGAACCAAGCTTGATTGTAGTGACGTGCTCTAAGAGCTCATGACTACAACGTGGGTACTGCAATGAGTAAATCTCGAGTTTGAAATAGAATGTTGCGTGGGCGCATATTAGTGGGGTGGCTTCGTAGCGGGTTTGCGTGCACGCTTGGAGTAGGCCTGGAAGGGGGAAGCTGTACTTAATGAAGGTGCGGGTGCTAGCTTCTATCTTTTCGATCTCTTTTGCTCGAACGGTTGTAGAGAGGGCTAGATAAGTATATATCTTGTTGCGCAGTTCGGCGGGGAGGCGGAGGAGGGGGGACGTTAGACTGTTGGTGAGAGTACTAGGCGCGTCCGTTAGTGGGTGGTGTCAAGTAGATAGCGGGGGGCTTACATTTGGGACATGACGGTGGAGGATACAACGGCTCTAGAAGAAGTTTCCATTCTTTGGACGGACGGAGAAGTAGAGTATAATGATTTTGGCTAGTGGGTAGTTGACGGAACTGAGTAGGTAATTCGAAGTGAGTGCTTCCGAGGTCGATTTATCTGCAATGCGCTAACTGCCTAGCCAAGGACTGATACTGCAACCCGCTTCTCTTTCGACTAGCCAGTTCTCGTGACCTCTAAACTACCATCTTCCTGCCCACCGCCCATTCTCTCAGTCACACAAAGATGATTTGCATGGTATTCTTCTTGCACAACATCTTCAGTGCTATCATTGTAGTAACTCCCCACGGTTGCATGCATGCGTCAGACTCGATGTAAATCCTCTCCACGTTCGGCAGCCATTTAGTCGGAAATTGCAGTCCTGCATAGTCTCTACCTTTTCGAACATGGTGTGAGACGAGGCATGCAATACGACCCCCAATCTTAATCGAGGTAACGAACTCGCCGATTCCGTCGTCGCAGCTGCCGTTCATCCAGGCACCCGTGTGACACTGAGTGAAATCGAAGAGGGCTGATCTGTATACTATCGAGGTGGCTTCGTGTCGGATTTGTTTGCACGTCTCCAGTTCAGCTGGGAGCTGGAAGCTGCATGTGAGAGACCCTTCAGGTTGAGTGGCTTTAATGACAGTAGATAGGCCGACATAGGTGTATATTTGGTTTCGCAGCTCAGCGGGCAGGCGAAGGAGTGGAGAGGTGAGTTGATTGGCGGATGTGCTGGCAATATCGTCAGTGGGAAGTGCGGGGAATGGCGGTGGACGTACATTTTGGACACGACGCTGCCTGGTTGAAAGATCAGTGAGTTTTGGGTCTCCATGTTGAGTAAGTAGAGAATATTGTGTATGTTGAGGCTGGTGGTAGATAGGAGCAGGTAAATGACTCAGGGAGTGAGTAATCAATGCACTGATCCAGAAGGGCTAGTATACCAATTCACTTCGTATAGTGTATGCAGAAATTTTGACATACTCAACTTCGGTTTATGAACCGACGGAGTAATTGTACCTCCTAAGAACAGCGGGACTGTCATGAGTCTCGAACACCATCTTCAGAGGCTCATGCTACAGCGAATACCTTGTGCAACGAAATCAGAAAGGCGGGGCATACCCATTGAATACCACCTCCAGGTCATCCTTCCCACACCAGACTCTCAGACCTTGTATAACTTCGTCATCAACACACCAATACCTTTGATGACACGGCGCGAGTTCAATTCTCTCCAGGTTTGGCAGCCAGTTGATAGGAGACTTGAACTCCGCGTAATAGCCGTCTTCCTTGGTCGCACACCTTGTCACATACTCGGCGATATGGAAATCGATTATGATCGACGTGACGAGTTCGCAGACAGGGTGGAAGCAGCAATCGTATTGCAGGTGTTCGGAGTCGCAACCGGAAAAGTCGAAAGAAGCATGCTTGTATAGCAGTATAGTGGCTTCTTCATGAATTTGTTTGCATGTGCGGAGGAGGCCAGGCAGCTGAAATTTAAGCTTTCTGGCGGAATTGTCTTGGTATACATTGACTTCAATGCTAGTAGAAAGACCCGCGTAGGTATATATCCTGTTTCGCAGCTCGGCGGGGAGGCAAAGAAGTGGAGACTTGAGCTGATTTCTAAGAGTGCTTGGTCTCGTATAAGTAAGTGCAAATTGATGAGAGACGATGCGCTTACATGTCCATCTTGGTATTGCAGCCTGAGAAGCCCGCAGAGGAAGCGTTGATCTCCATAACGAAGAGCCGGGGAGCTTGGCGCCGCATAGATCTGGTCGTAGGTAGTGGACGGATGGAAAGAGAAAGTTTGAGAAGGGAAGGCAGTGTTTAGTGCGCTATCTCAGAAGGCACTAGTGCAATACCCCACTTCTTATTGTGGCTAATCAGGACCGATGGCTTCAAGGTCATCTCAAATGTATTGCTTCCCATGTTTTGCCTGAATAAGACTTTTCGGTGCTTCACTGTAGTGGGACATGGTACTGCTGATGGTTGCACGGTTTACTAACGACCGATGAAATTATGGAGTGGCTTGTCTGACATAATGCCTTTTTATGCCATCTCAATTGCTTTTGCCGGTTCTGTCATCATATCCGTGGTGCTAATTGCCGGATTTTGATATCGCAGGTCCACCAAAATTTTAGGGTAATGTTTGCTGACAGCCGTAGAACTCCATTTTCATGTGCGTGATCGTGAACAGATGAGGTAAAGGCACCGCGTGCCACTCGGCCATATTCTTTGCCTATCCATCGGGCATCTCACAGAGTTTCGAAAATGACCTCCAAAGTGTCCTTCTCACACCAGGCTCTTACCGCCGCCCGGATTTCATCGAGTTCCATTGGAAACCCATACTTGTTTGGAGTGATGAGAACCCTCTCAAGCTTCGGCATCCATATAATTGGAGACTTGTATTCGTCAAGCCAGCGTTCGCTTCCTTGATTGGCGTGGAAAAGGCTCTCGGCGAGACAGTACGAGATCCTGATAGACGTGGCAAACTCGCCGAACTCATGGTCGCAGCGGAGATGCCACCAAGCACATCCCCACCCGGAGAAATCGAACACGGCCAACTTCCAAACAAGCGCAGTCGCTTCTTGCCTGATGTGCTTACTGATTTCGAGCATATAGGGCATCCGGAAGTACACTGAGTAGATGGCAGGACCAGTTGGCAGTGGGGCCAACGCTACATCGACTTGGACAACAGTCGAGAGGCCTACGTAGGTGTATATCTTGTTGCGAAGCTCGGCGGGTAGAAGAATAAGACGTGATTTGCGCTGATTTCTGAGCGTACTATCTAAGATGTTAGTTATTGTGAGCGTGCGGCTGAGAGGCGGTTGGCTTACATTTCTGACATTGCGCTTTCATATGACGAAACCGCGGGTGAAGGTAGGCTCGCCATGGTTGGTATCGTGGGTATCGTGTAGAGAGATGGTGGTTGTACTTAACTAAGATCAAAAGCGACGGCAGGCGAAGTCAAGGTATGAGGCGTCTCGGTAATCGAGGTGAGAGTGAGCTTAATTGATTGTTGTATTGGAGTGGACGAAATGACTGTCTAGCGCCTGTTCATTTTGGGTAGGAGCAAACGCTATGACGTACGAGTCGCGCTCTAACCTAACAGAACCCTTCCCATACCCTTACACAGCTTCCTCGAAGATGATTTCAAGGTCTTGGTTCCTAGTGCAAGCTCGCAATTTATCCCGTATGTCCTTACTCATATGCGATCCCATAGGTAAAGCCAATACGTATACTCGCTTCAAAGCCGGAAAGGCTGGACGCTCCAGTTTACACAGATCATCCACGCCCCTGTAGTGCATGCGAACGGATGTCATAAGGTGATAGACCGGTAGCCTCGAGATCCGCTTGATCCACGAATGATCCTTATCGGAGACCCTGTAGGTCACATGGTCGAAGAACATCGCACGGGCTTCATAGCGGAGCTGAGAACAGGTTGATATGAGGGCCGTGAATCTTTCGTACGTGTAATTACTCCAGCGGTATATACGGATGTACATACTGCTGAATGTGTACACGTAGATCTTGTTGCGGATCTCGCCTGGAAGTCGGAGAAGTGGAGAATGAAGCTGGTTTCGAGTCGTACTGGATAAATTGTCAGCGGGTGCGGCTGCGTATCTGCGTGGGAAATGGCTAAACTACATGTCTGTTACGGCGCTGCTATGTCGCATGGCTGGGGTTGAGGCCAAGAGTTCGAGGTCGAGGATTGCGATCCTTCTCATTTGATGAGGAGTACCTTTGCGTATGTGGTGGTTCGATATCGCGTGAGTAGAGTAAGCAGATAGGTTGATTTTGGTATATGGACAGCGGGTGGTAGAGGGAAGTAGGTTGAAGGCTTTGGGGGTGATTTCGTGAATTAGCACAGAAGGACCGACTGCTACCTCGTTTCCATCGCAGAGCTCTGGTCATGACGTATCAATACTCTCGTCATTCCCGTAAGCGGAACCCGCCCTTGTGATTATCTCTAGAACGCTGAGCTGGGGGCCACTTGCAAGTCCGCATTTCCCGCCCAAGTTCGTAGCGCATCAACCCCCAAACTATCCTTTGGCATGCGCGATTTACTCCAACCAGCGACATATACTCGCTCCAGTTCCGGGAAGAGTTTAGCTCCCTGTCGTTCCGCTACAAAATGCTCATCCTCCCGTAGGAGCCTTATAATCCGCTGCGATCGTAGATGGATGGAAGTGACGAGCTGGAAGTCCGCGTGTGGAAGCGTCTGTGGGAACTCCGAGAACAGGAGCGCCCTCAAATCGAGAGTCGCATGCGCGAAGAAGATGGCGTGGGCTTCATGGCGCATCTGAGAACAGGTGGATATGATGGCTGTGGACTTGCGGGCTCGAGGACTGTTGTTGAAGACGGCCTGAGTGCGGGAACACGCGTACGCGTAGATCTTGTTGCGTATCTCTCCTGGCAGCCGTAATAGAGGTGAGTCGACCTGGTTCTGAAGGGTGCTGGATACATGTTAGCAGATGCCCGTCGTCTCGATAGGGTTGAATAGTCCAGGTACTTACACCTCGCGAGCTTCTTTGGAAGTGAGCACGCGACGCTGACGTGAGGTGACTGTCTGTCGTGACATATTGCTACGCGGGGTCAGGATCGAAGTCCAGAACGTTGTTCAATGTCACAGAACGCTTACCCAAGTACGTGTGTTTGAGGATTTATGGGCTACACCAACCAGGCAGCGTAGTTGCTCACGAGACTGTATGAGCTAATGGCTTGATGAGAACAATCTGTGGGAAGACAAGAGAAGAGGACTGGTTTCGGCGATCAAGGCGTTTTATATACAGAGGGTGCGTGCGGGAGTGAGTGCAAGACCGGGATTAGACCCTCGAGATCACGCGCCGGATCACGTGCATACGAGCGAAGATGTTCCTTGACGCATTCCTCATGCATTGCTATAAATGAAATTTTGTGTATCCACTAGCACTTTTGGTCCATCCTCAGAGATGCCCAAACATGAGCCCTCGACTCGATCAAAACGGCTTTTTCGGGTACATGAGTGAAATGAAATAGATCAAGAAAGGATGAAATAGCAGCGGCCCAACCCAAGAACTCCATATTATCCGCAGTAATAGTCCGCAGAACCTTTCAACGACGTCCTCGGAGGTATATAGCGCAAGCACCATTGCCAGTGACCTGTAGGTCCTCCTTTTCGAACCACTTTCTCAGCACATCAAATATATAGTCTTCCTTCCAACCAGGACTGTGTATATGTACCCTTTCCACGGCAGCAAAATATCTCCCAGGCATATACTTTGGAAACAAGTCTTCATACTCTTCGTCCTCTTCATAGGTGTATCCCTGGGTCGTCCTCAACGCTGTTGATATGACTACAGAGTCAACGGAGAGCGACGTAATGAGGCTGCAATACTTGGGGTTGAAGCTTTGACGGGAAAGCCATGCCTCGGTACTGGACACCTCGAACGTTGCGAGACCATACATGAGTGTAATCGCCTCGGAGTGCCATTGTTTGCAGGTGAGAAGGAATGTTTGGGTGAAGCGACAGGCAGTTCCAGTACCTTCGGGACGCTTCTCGTAATTCTCGCCGTATCTGATTGTGGTTGTTTCGCAGACGTATCTGTAGATTTGGTTGCGGATCTCGCCAGGTAGACGAAGAATGGGCGAGTTGAGGTGGTTCTTAGTGGCGCTATGCGACTTAGTCAGTGATGTGTGAAGCTCGTAGGCGGCCAATGTAGTGCCACACAAGGGAACTTACATCATGTCACCTTCTTCGGTGGTAGCCGCGCGCTTGAGCAGTTCGTCATGCTCTGCAAGAGCCTTTTCGCGGTCCCAGGCGGCGGTAGTCATCTTGCGGACTTTGATAATGAATGGAGTGTATACAGTGGAATGGAGGGACTTCTTGCAAGACTGTAGTATAAAGATCGCTGTGGTGAGGTGAAGTTTAAAGGTGATCGCGTTCTGTTAAGTATGCCACGGTCAACAATCGAGTATGGAGTCACGTGTTGGTTCAGAGCATCCTCGTCTCTCACCTGTGTCTCTCACCTGGCTATTAGTCCTACGCTTGAGGCTCTACCATGGCCTTCACAGGTAAGTGGGTAGGTTGTTAGTCACTATATTTTGAAAGTAAGACTTGATTCATCAGTAAGATCAGCGAGGATTTTAGAAGAAATTTGTCTTATAAAGTTCTTGAATATTCGATCTAATATGTACATTAAACAGAAACCGCGTACTTTACACTCGGTCAGCTCTACCACATCTAGGCCTTGGGGCCGTGAGGCTTCTTCATGTAGGTTGGCGCCAGAGGCGGGTCAGCGTTCTTGACCAGCATCTGCACGTACTCGTCAAACCAAGCACCAGCAGCCGGTGCGCCAGTAAGACCGCACTTTCCGTCACTCTCGCCACCAGGCTTGATCCAGACAAGAGAGTCGACGTTGGTGTTGTTCTGCTTCGAGCCAGGCAGAGGACCGAATCCGGCAGGTTCAACGTTGCACCACTCGCCCCACTCCTCACGAGCACCGGGAAGAGCGACGCGGCCCTGGTCGATGATGAAGTGGGATGGCAGACCCTCTGCCTCGAGGTAAGGAGCGAGCGAGGTGGCGTAGTGGCTCTCGTCCCACGATGGGGAGTACTCGGTGTAGTTCTCGCGAACCTTGGCTTGGAAGGAGTTGTAGTTAGATACGTTGGTGGAGAACCCCCGGATCTTAGCCATGGGGTTGAGCTTCTTTGCCATAGCAACAACCCTGCCGAAGACCTCAGCAGTCGGCTTCAGGTTGTCTGCCCAACCGAGCCAGCCGCCGTGTGCAGCGTCAATGTACAGATGTACGTTGGGGAACTGCAACTTGGAGATCGCGTACGCAATACCCTCTTCGTAGATCGGAGTGGCGTTGGCGCAGAAAGGAACGCCCTGGTTAGTGACGGCGTTACCCAGACTGTCGGGCTCGAGAACGATGGCGAAGTCGAGATCCCTTGCCTCAGAAACAAGCTTGGCGTACTTGTCGACGAACTCCTTCTTGTATATCTGGAGACCGTTGTTGGCGGAGCTGAGCTCACCGGCAGACTCGCCAGCAGAGCAATCACGGTCAGGCAGATTGTACAGAACTAGTCCGACGATCATCTTCTTTGGGCCCTTCTTTTGTTGACGAGCCTCCTTGATGGCTTGGGAAATGAGGCTGAGACCATCGCGTGTGGTGACCCAAGTGAAAGTCGAGATCTTCTGGGCGACTGTGCGAGTGCGCGCCGCATTGAGAGTGTCGTTCTGGGCCGTGAAGGCGGCAATAGTCTGGTCGAGCTTCTTGCCGTAGCTCTGAACAACATAGCGGTCTTTGCCAGTCCAAGGGTTGACGTTGGGGCCTGGGGGTGGCTTAGGAGCTGCGGACGCAGCACCGGCGAGGGCGGCAGTTGCCAAAACGAACTGTGTGAGTTGCACCATGATGAAACGAGAGGCTTGAGATTGACTCGAGGTGGTGATGAATCGTACGTTGGACTGCCTGGGGCTTTTATACAACGCCATGAGGATGAGCGCCGCAGAAAAGACCCATCCAATCATCTCTTTCTCTTTCAGCAGGCTTGGTACAGGCTTGCCCTTACGTTCACGTGGCTGTATTTAGACTTAGGTGACGGTACCGTCGGCCCGTTGTACATTCTAACAGCACTCAAGACGGTCCAAGTCCTTGGTGAAAAAGCATTGACATCTCGCATACAAAGCGCCACGGCGGCGTTGCTGTAGTGCTTCATCGATGGCGTACCGTGCGTATTCTGTAGCGAATGTAAGGAACGGTCGTTCGCCCCTAGATTGGCATGTAGTCCTGTTAACAGTAAATTAGCCAAGGTAAAGTCTACCGGGGCTGCTGCGGGTAGTCAATATATCTGAGCTGTTTACCCGGCTTCTACCCCAGCTTCGTTGAAACATCGACCCCGCAATCCGGCTCGTGATATTGCGATCCCGAAAAGCGCCCTGCAGATTGGACGGGGCGGTCAAGCTAATGCTGTGTATATTGCGCATAGAGTACTGTGGGGATCTTGTGTCATTTCGGACTGCAGCTCGCCATCTGCAGACACTGTACAGAAGATTCGTTGCGTCTTCTAGCGCGAGTGTGAGCGGCTGTACCCTGAGGCTGAGTTGGATGTACATTGTAGACGCTGCACGCACGATGCTGGACCTCCAACACAGGATAGATCTCGGAAGTGATATCGCGAGCTAAGGCACTCGAGTGGGACGATCGCGCAGATTGAAGGCCCTGTGGCATACACACGTTGAGAATTCAGTTGACCTTCGTTTCGGATGGATGCGCGCTTCCAACGGAGTGCGTTACGAAAGCCTTAACGATATGTTCCATTACTTGACTACAAATTGTCGTCGAGATATCCCGGGATTTAGCTGAAGGCGTATTTTGCGGATGGGGTGCGAAAAGGCACGAAAATGATGGTGCTGTGCGACGCGCGTGGCGTGCATGATATTCGGAGTCGAGTAGACCGTCTTTCAACGAACAACGCATCGGAGGTTTCGAGAAAGCAGTAGTCACGTATTCGCTCGCGTTGGCCGAGTTGAAATGGGGTGCAGTCGGGCGCGTGACAATTCCTATGAACGCGACGCGGGTGTGGGAACATGATTGCTTTGCCGTTAGCGTCTTGGCAGTAGTTGTAGTGGTTTCCGTTCCGCTTTCCAAACCTCGGAAGTCCTTTCAACACGCTGCAATGTCGAACGCTACAGCCCCGAGGGATGGCCTTCTTGCCGAAAGCAAAAGATGTGTTCTTGCGAGATAGAAATGCAAACATGGATGCAGAAGAAGAAGAAAGTTTCAGGTTGATGCGTTCGCCGTCGTGGCTTCAAAGCAAAGAGGTTGAGGTGGAGGGGACGAGGCAGAGACCGATGCGGTAGTGAATCACGTTTCGCATCTTTGCGGAGTTGACCAGCTGCTGGTCGTTGAGAGGCGAAAGTATTGGTGTCACGCTTAAACATTCACAAGAACCAGCATCTGGAAGATCAACGTCTAGGAGTAAAAATGTACATTGAATCGAATCTAGTCTACAAACTATTCATAAGGAGTGCCATGTCGTCGTATCGTATCATGTTGTTATTACAAAGGAAGGGCTCGTCTCAGCGACGAAGAAGAAGTAGGTGGTGTTCACATCCGACACACCTTTTAGACTCACTTGATGATGATTCAGGATCAAAACAAGGTCTCATCCACCAGCGCTAACAATCTAGCACTCGCGGACATACATGCCAAGGGGGCTTGGGTTGTAGTCCTGGAAGTAATCCATGGAGAAGTCACCGCTGCCACAGATCATGTAGGTGACGGTCTTGCCAGCCTCACAGTCACCAGTCTCGACAGGGTAGGTGTTGCCGGGAGTCATCTCCATGTGGGCAACGTCCTTCTCCTTGGCGGGCATGTTCTTGTAGGTGGTCATCGCATCGGCAGGGCCCTTGAGCTTGCTGACGGTGCACTCTCCGTGACCAGACATGGTGTAGTCGGAGGTCTCGAGGTCCTCCTTCTTGGGAAGCATGAACATGGCAGAGCACTTCTTGCCAGCCATGGAGGCGGGGATGTCGAAGTTGAAGATGGTGCAAGTATGGCTATCGACCATGCCGTTGTAGGAGGTGTCGTGGGCCTTGTCGGGCTGCTCAGAGTCGACAGGTACGATAAGGTGGGGGTACTCGTAGTTGCCGTTGAGGTCCTGGGGGCATGAGCCCTCACCGCCGTTGTTAACGCCGTCGTCTGGGTTCTCTGGTGTTTCAGCGGGCTTGCTTCCTGCTGGAGGAGCGGGCATGGTCGCGGAAGCAGCGGGATAGGTCTCAGCAGGAGGAGCAGGGTGTGTCTCGGCAGAAGGAGCGGGATGAGTCTCAGCGGGAGGGGCTGGCTTGGTCTCAGAGGGAGCGGGGTTGGTTCCAGCGGGAGGAGCAGCAGGCGCAGTGACAGTGACGGTCACGACGCTGGGAACGCACTCGGACTCTTGAGGGACACCAGGTGCGGGCTGGGAGGGCTTCTGGCCTTCAGACATGGCGGGGTAGCCTGGCTTGCCGGATTGCTGAGGCTTTCCAGGTTGGCCGGGGTACTCGGGCATGCCAGAAGGCATACCGGGCATACCGGAAGGCTTTCCAGGCATATCAGAAGGCTTCCCAGGCATGTCAGAAGGCTTTCCAGGCATACCAGAAGGCTTTCCAGCAGGAGGTGTACCGGCGGGTGGTGTGCCAGCAGGAGGTGTGCCAGCAGGTACAGTAGCAGTAGCGACAGGAGGTGTGCCAGCAGGGTATGTGCCAGCAGGAGGTGTACCAGCAGGTACAGTGGCGGTAGCGACAGGAGGTGTGCCGGCAGGTCCAGTCGCAGTGGCTGCGGGAGGTGTGCCAGCAGGCTGAGAGCCAGCGGGCTGTGTAGCACCAGCCCCGCAAGAACCAGCGGAGCCAAGAGAGATCTCGACGCACTTTTCTTGACCAGGAGCAGGTGTTGTGTAGACGTTGTACTCGCCGTTGTCATTGACGGGGCAAGCGTAGAACTTGCCGGAGCCGTTGTATGTAACGCCACCGTTGGGTCCGACCGCAAAGCCGTTGGTGGGAGTGGCACCAACATCGCACTGGAACTGGGTGGTGGGAGGAGTTAGGATACAGCCACGTCCGTTGGAATCAGTGAAGCCACCGTTGCCGTCCAGGCAGTAGCAGCCGGTAGGCAGACCACCATTACCGACACGGTTCTGGCCGTCGTCGAGTTGGCCAAGCACACCTGATGCGCCGCCTGACGCCTCAAGCTTGAAGCACTGTGTAGCCTGACGAACGACAAGGGCGTTGGCTCCGAGGCCGAACGCGATGGGAGCGAAAGCGTATCTCATATTGGAAAACTGAGCGACTGTGGGATGAGGTGGAATTCGTGGATGCCCTCCAACACGTTCGAACTGGGTGCCTCTTATACTGGCCTGTGGCTCAGGGACTATGACAGCCGGTACTGCTAAAGACTCCTAGCGACTTCCAGTGTTGCGGCATCGGCTTACGTTGTTGGGATTCTAGCAGGCCTCGCGTCTGGTTCTCATCGTCATCTCGAGAACGATGATATCAGTAGACGAATGCCTGTACAAGCATTTGTGGAGACAGCTATCCAAGCCTGTAATGCTTGAGGCTTTCCGCTGCCTGGTAGTAGCCGTGTGGCCCGCGTTAACGTTCAAAAATGTCGCGCTTTCAAGTAACACCAACCGCAATGATTGGCCAGAAGTCAAAAGACGTTCTGGGAACTGTGGTTCTCGACGTACGCCAGACCCGATTTTGTGGGGTAAGATCGACAGGAACACGTTGCTCTACCCCATGCCATGTACACAACTCGACCTCGAGAAGGATATCAACGAGAGGTATCGTTGGTGTTGTACGTTGAGACTGGTCGCAAATGTGGCTGCAACTTGGAAGTCAGCAAGATGAACTGCATCGCTATACGTGAGCTTTCCGATCTTGATATGGCAGACGATGAGCTCTTCGAAAGTAAGACGGAGCTTGATGCGTTGCGGAGTCCGTTCCGACGGCAAGGTCGGCGTCGTCTAGAGTTAAGACTATTGGCATGAGCCTTGGCGGTGAACAACAAAGAGTAAAGTTACTCAACATAATAACAAACCGTTGCCGAGTGTTCCGCTACGGTCGTTTGATATGCAAGATGAGCAAATAAGCGACGTGGTGCTTTTTACCCCAGACATCTGTAGACCTGGAATTCATGGGGTACGTCGGCAGCCAGACCAGCCTGGGAGATCACGTGAAAGCCGCGTACCATTTTCGTAGCCAGCCCGTATGGTCTACACTGGAGACGAAAGGTTGAATTGGCGAGCATTATGGAAGGCAGGCATGTCAACATGATAGTTTTCGATGCGATCCAGTTTAAAGCTGACGATATCTGTAAACCAGGCTGGGCACTTGCATAGTGCCCACTGCATAGCGGGAGCTGTCAAGGCTGACGGATGTTATCTCCATCTGGAAACGGTCAAACAAATTATTTGCAAGTCGAGTACACGCTGTCTAGCTGGGAAAGCACGGCGCAGTGTGGAGGGCTTTCGTCACTTTGACGTGATCACATCCGAAAGCTCCAGTGTCGGCGAAATTTCACCGTGCAGAGATTGGTGGAGACTTTGCTATGGAGATCCAAGCCCTTCTCTTGTATTTCTGGTGCTGAGTGGCATTTGTGAATACCGGTTGTCCCGGTGGCGCAAAAGAGTCGAAGCAACGCGGGTCCCTGGGCAGGTCTTCAGGCGACCAGAGGTAGGCTTTGCATCTTGCGCGCGTCGTCGTATGTGGGCTGTGTTCAGCTGCTTGCTGACGCACACACGCAGAAGTACCACGGCGGGATTATGTCGGAAAGTCGATCGTTATTTCTGGTGTTCTGGTCCACCTTAGCTGCCCTCGGTCGTGGTCGGTTGGTGGATCGGTCGCGCGACGTCCGCTCCTAGGGTTCGTCTGAAGGG